GGTCTTTCTAAGCCAAGCTCTATCTCTCACCTCACACCTTTTCTTCCTACCCAGAATGTTTCTTAAATAAAGCACTTTGGAGCCTTAGAGTACCCTGATAGGAAAGTGGCTATCTTGTGATTTCAGGAAATCATGTCTCTGTCTGCAGATGTTTTTCATATCTGGGCTCTAAACGATTACCGGCCTTGCCGTACAGCGTTTGAATTCCATGTCACTGCAGGTGGAGGGTCACTCGGTCACTTACACCAACATGATCACTCTCATCCCGTCTGCCACGTCAGAAGTGATCACCCGCCAGAAGCATCTCCAGATCATTCTGAAGTGTGAAATGGAATCGAATTCTACTGTGGAGATGATGTATGTAACGGAAGATGACATAATACAAAATCAAAGCGCCCTGGGAAAATACAACACAAGCATGGCTCTTTTTGAATCCAATTCATTCGAAAAGCCTATACTGGAGTCACCATATTATGTGGATTTGAACGAAACTCTTTTTGTGCAAGTCAGTCTGCGCACCTCCGATCCAAATTTGGTGGTATTTCTGGATACCTGCATTGCCTCTCCCACGCCTGACTTTGCATCTCCAACCTATGACCTGATCAGGAGTGGGTATGTACTGCTGGGTGACATGCTTTTCCGAGGATTAACAGTGATTTGAATGAGGTAGTGTTGTTTGTGCATGGATCCACAATTCATCTATGCATACTGTATAATTTTTTTCTAGTACTGCTACAATGGAATTTAGTAAATGTAATCATTTTATGAAATATAGTTACTGTGCACTAATTACAGATAACTTAAGTTAGAGCATTTCTACAACCACAGCCCATATCCCCTAGAATTTTAAGTCTATTTCCAAAATTTATTTGCTGGTAGAAACAAATTTATTTTTTGTCGAGGATGATTTATGTTTTCATTTTTACTTTTTTTCTCCACATTTTGGTTATTTTCAACAAAATCCCAGAAGAGTATTTCACTTGTTCGAACTTCAGAACAGAAGGGTAATGAAATTTATAAAGTATCTGGGGCATTCCTTCCTTAAAAATAAAACAAAACAAAGTAGTGAAGGGGTGCTGACTGTTGCAATCGGTAGAGCTTATGACTCTTAATCTCAAGGTTATGAGTTTAAGCCCCACACTGGGCGAGCCTACTTTAAAAAAAAAAAATTTTTTTTAAGTTTTTTTTTTTTTTTAAAGGAAAGGTTTCCTTTTTTTTCTATAAGCTGATGGACTTAAACTACATCAACCATATTGATATCTTCATAGCAAGTGTCTAAGGTAAGGTGTAAGAGCTCTAATATATCTGAATTGATTTTCTAACTAACTCATGTGGACTAGAAATGTTATTGCTGGAGGGAATTTTATTTTACCCAGGAATCAGGTCCATAGCCTTAGCTCAATACAGTCTGAGCTAAAGACACTGACTGTCTTTTTTTTACTATTTTTTTTCTCTCCAAATTTTTATTTAAATTCTAGTTAGTTAGAGCATATAGGTAATATCAGCTTCAGGAGTAGAATTGAACAATTCATCACTTAACATACAATGCACCTGATCTCATCTGATCTCAGAAGCTAAGCGGGGTCAGGCCTGGTTTGTACTTGGATGGGAAACATTGTCTTTCTGGAGAAATTTTTGACCCACAGATCAGACAGTTCAAAGAAAACTTTGTATCATCTCTTTTCAATACTGAAAAGACTGAACTGGAAATTTTCTAAATGTGCCATAAATTCTGTTCTAGATGTATTCAAGATGACACTTGTATGATGTATCCGTTATCTGGACACTATGGAAGATTCCAATTTAACGCCTTTAAATTCTTGAGAAGTCTGGGCTCCGTATATCTCCAGTGTAAGATTTTGATATGTGACAGTGGGGACCATCAGTCTCGCTGCCACCAAGGCTGTGTCTCTAGAAGGAAAAGAGACCTTTCTTCGTACAAATGGAAGACTGATTCTGTCATAGGACCTATTCGTCTGAAAAGGGATCGAAGTGCAAGTGGAAATCCAGGTAAGAAAAAAGCTATTTCATGAACTAAGAATACCTCATGGTTCATAAAATTCTGCTCAAATGTATTCCTTCTTAAGCCTGTATAGTTTAGAGATTTATAGTATTTGTAGGAAAGCCTGTAATCAGGTAAGCACACAAGGTTAATTTTTCTTTCTGTTAGTGGATAAAATGAAAGCCATGTACATTTTAAGCATATGATGCTCTGATAATTCACCATTATTTCCGTGGCTTCTCAGGATAAATGTAATGTCCTCACTTCTAAAAACAACAGTTTCCCTTAGCTTTCTGACTTATTATAGCCACACCATGGCAGATAACAGAATCAAAAGCAATGTATTTTAATTCCTAAATGAGTTGAATCAGATGAACCAGCATCTCACACAAATCACCTTTTTGGGAAAACAAAAAGATTTTTTTCTAAAACAGAGAAAATAGCATATTTTTAACACAGCCCTGCTTCTTTTTAAAGGTTGGAAACATGAGCCCTGCCAGGTCACAGAACAGTGAATGTCCAAGGACAAGCCATGGCTGAATGGCTTCGATAGACCGTAGTTACATAGTTACATAGTTACATGAAAAGTGTTTATGAGAATTCATCTCATATGAAGATGATCCTGGCATAAGAGAATCTTATGACCTCTGTCTTTATTATTATTTGAATGAATTGGGAAGGAGTAGGATTCTAGTTTGTAGCAAAATATTTCTATGACAAAAACAAAAGAGAACAAAAATTAAATCCAGTAATTTTATAAACATAGTCATTAAAAAGACAGTGCATCTATGGATATTGGGCTAGATTAGTTGAAAATTTGTGAATGAAAGTTATAGAAATATCATGCACATTAGAAGAGTACCCTTTTCCTGTTTGAAGAGAAGAAATTAGTTGTGTCTCCATAGATCAAATGTATTTTGGGGACTTTGGGAAATAGTGACCATCAGTAGATGGACCTGCACTTCTGTTTGGTTTTGATGCTTAAATTCCACAAGTTTCTCACCTTATGTCAGGGCAACAAAGTAGCTATTTAAATAAACAAATGTAAACACATCTTGTCTTTTAAATGAAACAGAAACATACATTAATTGAAAGAGTTGCTAGCAGTTTCCGTAGGCTGTTTTGGCATTATGTATCATAAGGTCCTTCATTGATGCCTAAGACTCGGAGGCTATGGAGAGATACCCATTCGCAAAAATTTTGTAATGCCAGGTAATACTTTTCTTTAAATGATTTTTATCTGGTTTCCTCTTACAGGATTTCAGGACCAAATACACAAAGAAGAAACTCAGAGTCAATCTTTTGACAGTCTGCATCTGTTTTCATTCATGGTCCTTGCTCTGAATGTTGTGATGGTGGCCGTGATCGTAGCAAGGCATTTTGTGAATCAGAGAACAGACTATAAATACGAGAAGCTTCAGAATATTAACTGACCGTTCAGTCTTCAGTGAGACCCATTTTCCCAAATGCCAAAGGAAATTTCCCCTGGCTACACATTATGAATAAATTGGAGAGAGCTGCATAAAAATGACACCGTTCCTGCTGTCACTGTGGTCAGAGCTCGCTGCCTTGCAGGTGTGATTGAAATGAACAAACATTATGTCCATGCTAAGAACGAAAGCCACCAAAATACCAGATGAATTAGAAACGTCCTTTTTCACAAGCATGAAACAGTCTCCGTCAATATTAGGTGAAAAGAAGAAGGTTGTTTTTACTTAAATCTTCGGCATTAGATGTATTTGTTTCCTAGATGCAAATATGCTACCTTTTGAAATGTACACGAGGGTTACAGTTTTTGAAACTAAGTGTGACAGAGAGACTGACATCTTGTTTATTCACATGCCTCACTCTAATTCAGAGCCTCGGCATTTTACAACTTGAACACATCTCAGAGAAGGGCTCTGGAAAGAAAAAAGCTATTTCATGATCTAAGGACAGGAAAGAAGAAACTGACTATAAAAGGAGAGCCTTCTGTGTGGTTTCTAGGTTAATGAATGAAAACAATTCTCCTCCCATTTACCACCAAACACCAAAGCCAAATGTAACCCTAAAAGGAGAAGTCCGTTCCGGCTGACGCTTTCCTATCCACAGTATAGAAGTCTCCATGTGCACAAACTTACTCACACCACACATGTTGAATTCTTTGTCCTAGGAGGACAGTATAACTCATCCCCACCATCCGACACCAACATGTTTTCAGGTTCTAATACACATCCAAAGAGGCAACCACATTTCTGAATACCCAGGGACACTCCTTGACTCCCAGACACTTGGATTTGATACCACGCATGCCCAGGGAGTACACCACGAGTAAGAGCATCTCTACTCTTATCGCACGAGTTGTTAGGGGCCTGCTGGGTTTCCACCTCCAAATGAAAACAGATCTTCCCCATTTTCTTTTTAGTATTTCCACATGGATCTTCTAAGCCCTTGCCCCATGTGGCCATGTGGTCCAGTCTCCTCTGTGTTCGTCTATATGACTAAAGGGAGCTACTGCAAAGTTCTTTTCCAACCTAACGTGAAAGCACTTGAGAATGTAATGAGAACAGGCGAGTCAGATTCAGTCAAGGCAGTGTGGTCCCGGGCCCAGCGCCGACTTTCTGTCAGGAACTGCGTGAAGCTGTGCGGGTGGCCAGGCACAGCAGTGTGATACCAAGAAGACCGTCGCATAGTGTGACTTGGGAGATAGTGTAAAACTGTATCACCATGAGTCACAAACCCTTTGCAGTGGACCTACTGAGCTATACCAGCGCATCAGGGATAGAAAATAATACACAGCAGAAAGTGTTTTTCTTCAGGAGAAACGGCAGTAAAGTAAGTAAAGGTCCCAGATCTGAAGTGGGTGGCCTGGGTTTTAGTTCTTCCCCTTACCTGGTGGGTTACCTTGGCCAGGTCACCCTCAGCCTTGATTTCCACCATTTAAAATGAGGAAGGTAGCAGCTGCCCCCACCCCCAACTTGTTGTGCTCACGAGGGTTGAATGAGGAGATGAGCTATGCTCAGGGGCTGCCTCTGTACCACTTGCTGCTGGTGATGAGTCCCCCCGGGCAGCCCCCAAGTCCTGTTTCTGAATTTGCTTCCTCGGACCACGCCTGGTACTGACCGTCGTGGGCTGGGTCCTGGGAGACAACCTCTGGTGGAGAGGTTTGTGTGCCGAAGGGTTCCTGGGGCATGGGCCTAGCCTCGAGCCCTGGCAGGGGAAGGTAAGGGGGCCTGGCAGGGGGTTGGTGAGTGGCGATGCAGGGGCAGCAAAAAGCCTGGCCAACGCCCTGCATCCTGGGCTCGGCTGGCCTGTCAGAGACGTCCCCACACTGGGGCTCGGTACCCTGCCACATGACGCACCTCTATCCACCAACCATTGGTTGAAGGCTGCAAACGTGGCCAAGGCAGCTGCCTTGAGCTGAGGGAATCCCCACAGAGTCTTGGGGCTGAGAGCCATCAGCCACCCACACTCCTGGCAGCCTGAACAATGGTTCTACCGGAGGGAGATACGGCTATCACACCAGAGTGGCCACCACGCTCACTTCCTAGAGGAACAGGATTTTCTGAATGTCCCACAGCATTCCACTCTGACTCTATGCTGTATTCAAGAGACATGCTTTTTTTTTTTTTAAAGATTTTATTTATTGATTTGAGAGAGAGCATGAGGGAGGGCAGAGGGAGAGGGACAAGCAGACTCCACGTGGAGCAAGGAGCCTGATGCGGGGCCCGATGCCAGGACCCTGAGATCATGACCTGAGCTGAAGGCAGATGGTTAACAGACTGAGCCACCCAGGCGCCCCCAAGAGATATGTTTAACAGAGCATTTCAGCAAGGCTAAAAGCAAAACGTGCGACGGAATACCAGCATGTGCGGACAAGATGGGAGGGTCTCCTCATTTCTACAGGGCAGGGCGGAAGCCAGGCTACCTTCATGGCCTCTGCTGCCCCTCCCCCCAGGAAGGTGGCATCGCCTTGTTACCTCTGGGTCAGGGGTAGAGGTCCTGGCTCTTTACAAGGTCCCCTCTGACACCACCCCAGAGAAGTCTCAGAGGGGTGGTCTTCCTGCCTGGTGGGGTTGGAAGCCCAGCCTCCCCACCTGGTCTCCACTTGACATGGGGGTGTTGGGGAGGCCCCGGTTACTGCGCAGAGATGATAGCACCTGGGGAGGGGAGGGAAGGTGGAAGGGATCCTGGGGGCAGGAGGAAGTCTAGGCTCCCCACTTCACCTTTGTTGGCTGGGCTGAGGTACGGCCACAGTTTTACCCATGGCTCACGATCTTGCCTGGGTACCCCTTCACCAGTCCTTTGGCTAGAGAGCGCAGGCTTCTCTTGAGGCTTTTTTCTGGGTTGCAGGTTTCTCCCTGTTGAGTGCTTTTTGATCCATAAAGCATGGACTGCTCAGCAGTGACCGTGGCCTTCACACTTCAGCGTTCTCAGAATCCCCTGGAACGCTGTTGGAGAGGGCAGCTTCCTGGCTCCCGCCTGCTGAACCACACCTGGAGAAGCTCACCGGGAGCTCACTGGACACTTATTTATTTATTCTTAAAAGGTCAGTCCTTTCACTCTCAACACTTTTCACAAGAGGCATTTGTTAAAAGCTATAAGATGCTAACTTTGGAAGCTGTTGGCTTCCCACTTCCTCAACGCATACGGGATAGATGCAGTTAATGGGCAGGTAAGCTTAGGAAAGGAGACGCTCTAGCAGCTCAGAGGCCCTTGGAAAACCCCTTAATTCATCTGGGGCGCTCGTGTGAAATAGACGCCTGACACTCAGATCACGTGACCGAAGATGAAGGTGCTTGGTGACGAGTGATTCCCTTTTGACTTAAAGACGCTGCCTTCACCAGACTGACCAGCAACTACATCTCATCAACTTCTACCAGGTAGAAGCAGGGAACACCATCAAAATGCCGTCAGTATCCTATTTATCAAGATGGCTACCGATAAAGGGCACATCTGGCATGAGACTGAGATGTTCCCCTCTAGAGGCAATGTCCACCCTCGGGTCACATGTCAGATTTTCATCAGGACTTCAGGGTTAGCTCCCAGCCTCCCCCAAACTCTGCTCTCCCCTCTGGGAGCCTTGGCCATACTGTACTCTCATCTCATACATGCTATTGAATGGCAGAGATGGGAAAAATTTCTTGGACTTGAGGACTCATTTTAAGTGTTGCTATTGAATACTTCTTGACAAGCAAAAAAACAAAACTAAACTATGTCCAAGACTCAACTCACCCTTTCTTACTTTCTTCCCCTCCCTCCCTCTCTTCCTTTTTTTCCCTTCCTTCCTTCTTCCCTCCCTCCTTTTCCTTCCTTCCTCCCTTCCTTCCTCCTGTATTCTTTTTCATCTTTTGAGAGAATCTTAAGCAGGCTCCATGCCCAGCACAGGGGACTTACATGACTCTGAGATGATTGACCTGAGCCAAAATCAAGAGTCGGGTACTTAACCAACTAAGCCACCCAGGTGCCCCAAGACAGTTTCTTTAAAGACAGCTTTAAGGGAACTGAGTACAGTCCAGACCTCTTTCTGTTAAGATACAAAGAGAACTTGGATAAAGTGGTGCTGCCTACTTTTTCTATGAGGGTGTGGGATATGCAAACCTTTCTTTCTGTGTTCCTCAGGTTTCCTGTGTCCTCAGGTTTCCTATAAAGCCTTGAGGATCTGGGGCACAGACTGAGTGTGTGATAAAAGCAGTCACAGGTGGTTCATGTGATTGTGTCTCCAAATCTCATTTGCGGTCAATGTCAAAGCTGTCACCCAAACCCAACAAAGCCGAGGCACGGTGTGTTCCTTTTGGAACAGGCAAGAAGAGCTTGTTTTGAGTAGGTGACAATGAATAAACGAGCAAATGACGTATTCAATTCAACTAACCAGTTATTAGGGTTTAAAAAAAAAAAAAAAGAGCAGTGACTTCCCAACACTTAAGTTTATTTTTCATAGCAACAAATCTTAGCAAGATCTGAAAAGAAATTCTCACACCACCCGAGGGACAGAAAAAAAAAATCCATCTACTAGCATCTGAATGTTAAGGAGTCAATTTAACAAAATCTTTAAATTGACAATTTGGTATATAGAGAGAACTCTGTTCTTTAGAACATATGTAGTTCGTGGTAGTGAAGAATTAGAAGATGTAGCATCTCTAGCCTGCAAACAGAGTGACTGCCTTACAAGTTTAACAATCAGAGAAGGTTTATGTAGCATCGAAACTCAGAGAGAACCTCCTTAGCTGTTTCTTTTACCTGTGGCTCCATGGGCAGCTTCTGGTTTGTCAAACTTATCACTTTATTCAGGGAAAGAGGCTTTTCTTTCTAATAACAGATTTGTGCAAAAAGTGAAGAAATCACACAAGGGTCTTACTCCGACCAGTCCCTCTGTGGATTTCCAGTGGCCCCACCACTTGGAAATGCTCAGTCTGTTCTTCTGGGGTCACCACACGGCCTGCATCCCTCTTACTCCATTCTACACAGCCCTGGGAGCAGCGGGAGGAGTGGTCCCCCACTTTGCACACAGCGACCTCACACTGCAGGTAGACCACATCATAGTTGCTCAGAAAGTTGAAGGTGTTGAACTTGAACTGGGCTGTGTTCTTCTGTTGGGAGTGCAGGTTGATATAGGTATTGTCTTTGATGCACCTGATAGGAGAAAAACCCCCAGCCACAAGGATTAATTTGAAGTGTGATGGGAATTCACCCTGACTCTAATAATCAGACCAATGAATTCCAAACAGAGTTCTTCCCCCTACCCACTCTTTCTTTCATAAAGAAACTTAAAATACTACCATGAGTAGAAAAACAACTGTTCCTGAGCAGAAGTAGAAGCTAACAGTAAAATAAACATAATAAAAAACAACGTAATTAACTTCTAACTAGAGCTGTTGCCTTCCGAAGACCCATTCTATTCTATTTTGCCCAAAGGGGAGATTAAAGGTAGTGGTTATATTATTTGAAGGTGAAACTTAGATTATTTAAAAATGTGTTTCTTAGAGCGCCTGGTTGGCTCAGTCTGTTAAGCATCTGCCTTCGGCTCAGGTCATGATCCCGGAGTCCTGGGATCGAGCCCCGCATGAGGCTCTCTGTTCAGCAGGGAGCCTGCTTCCCCCTCTCTCTCTGCCTGCCTCTCTGCCTACTTGTGATCTCTCTCTCTGCCAAATAAATAAATAAAATCTTTTTAAAAAATGTGTTTTGTCAACCCTAACGCAACTATGGAAAAAGTTCAGTAAGAAGCATAAATGATACATCAAGAAAGGAGATAAAAGGGAATAATATAAAATGCTCCATTAAATCCAGAGAAGGCAGCAAAAGGAGAGAGGGGGTAGAAACAAAGAACAAATGCAACAAGTAGAAAACAGTTACCAAGATGGCAGATTTTCATCCAACTCTATCAATAATCACTTTATTTTTAAAAAAATTTATTTATCTATTTGAGAGAGGGAGAGAGAGAATGAGAGTGCGAGCTGGGGGAAGAGGGAGAGGGAGAGAGAGATCTTAAGCAGGCTCCATGCTCAGTGTGGAGCCCTACTTGAGACTCAATCTTAATGGCCCTGAGATCATGACCTGATCTGAAATCAAGAGTTGGATGCTTAACCCACTGAGCCACCCAGATGCCCCTCAATAATCACTTTAATGTGATTATTAAATATGCCACTTTAAAGATACAGATTACTAGAGCAGATAAAATGAAAACAAAAACAAGAAAACCCAAGATCCAACTACTGTTATCTACAAGACACCCACTTTAAATATAAAGACCTAGAAAAGGGATGGAGAAAGATTTACCATGCCAATACTAATCAAAAGAGAGCTGGAGTAGCTACATTAATTTGAGACAAAACAGAGTTCACAGCCAGGACAATTATCAGGAATGAAGAGGGGTATTGCATAACAGTAAAGGGATCAGGCCTCTCAAAAGACACAGTAAGCTGGGAAAACTGGACAGCTATATACAGAAGAATGAAACTCGACCATTCTCTTACACCATACACAAAGATAAACTCAAAATGGATGAAAGACCTCAAGGTGAAACAAGAATCCATCTAAATCCTGGAGGAGAACATAGGCAGTAACCTCTTTGCAATCACAGCAACTTCTTTCAAGACATGTCTCCAAACACAAGAAAACAAAAGCAAAAATGAACTTTTGGTACTTTACCAAGATAAAAAGCTTCTGCACAGCAGAGGAAACAGTCAACAAAACAAAGAGGCAGCCCATGGAATGGGAGAAGATATTTGCAAATGACAGTACAGATAAAGGGCTGATATCCAAGATCTATAAAGAACTTCTCAAACTCAATACCCAAAAAACAAATAATAAAGTCAAAAAATGGTCAGAAGACATGAACAGACACTTCTCAAAAGAGGACATACAAATGGCTAACAGATAAAAAAATGTTCATCATCATGGGAAATTCAAATCAAAACCACATTGAGATACTACCTTACACCAGTTAGAATGGCAAAAATTGACAAGGCAGGAAAAAACAAGTGTTGGAGAGGATGTGGAGAAAGGGGAACCCTCTTACACTGCTGGTGGGAATGCAAGTTGGTACAGCCACTTTGAAAAACAGTGTGGAGATTCCTCAAAAAATTCAAAATAGAGCTACCCCATGACCCTGCAATTGCACTACTGGTTATTTACCCCAAAGATACAGATGTAGTGAAAAGAAGGGGCACATGTAGCAGCAATGTCCACAATAGCCAAACTGCAGAAGGAGCTGAGATACCCTTCAACAGAGGAGTGGATAAAGAAGATATGGTCCATATACACAATGGAATATTATTCAGCCATCAGAAAGGATGAATACCCCATTTTTGCATCAACATGGATGGGATTGGAGGAGATTATGCTGAGTGAAATAAGTCAAACAGAGAAAGTCAATTATATGGTTTCACTTGTTTGTGGAACATAAGGAATAGCATGGAGGACATTTGGAGAAGGAAGGGGAAAATGAAGGGGGAGAATCTGAGGGGGAGACAAACCACGAGAGACTATGGACTCTGGGAAACAAAATGAGGGTTTCGGGGTGGGGTGGGGGAATGGGTTAGCCCGGTGATGGGTACTGAGGAGAGCATAGATTGCAAGGAGCACTGGGTGTTAGATGCAAACAATGAATCATGGAACACTACATCAAAAGCTAATGATGTACTGTGTGGGGACTAACATTAAAAAAAAAAAAACCGAAAAGATATAACAATCCATAATGTATACACATGTAACAACAGAATGTCAAAATGTCTGAGACAAAAAGTAAGGGAACTGCAAAGAAATCTACAAGCCCACTGTGATGGCTGGAGGCTCCGCACCCCTCTGTCTAGAACTGACACATCCAGCAGAAAATCGGGAAGGACACTAATGATCTGGAAAGGACCACTGATCAGCTAGACTAACTGACAGCTGTAGAACACTCCATCCAGCCACAGCAGAATACAATCCTTCTCAAGCCCATGCGGAACATTCCCCGGGACAGACACCTTCTGGACCACACAGCACACCTTAGCAAATTCACAGAAAAGAAATCACACCAAAGACATAGTCTGATCACAGTGGAATTGAATTAGAATTCAGTCACAGAAAGGTTGTTGGAAAATTCTTATTTGGAAATGAAACAACACACTTCTAACTGATCCAGAGGTAAAAGAAAAAGTCTCAAGAAAAATTTACATGCCATTTTGAGCTGAGCGAAATTGAATATACAATTTATGAGGATCAAATCAAATGCATGAATTGGAAAAGAAGAAAGATCTAAAATCAATAACCTAAGACTCTACCGGAGGAAATTAGACCAAAAAAGAGTAATTTGAACCTAAAGCAGACAGAAGAATAAAGTGTTAGTTGTTATATTTTGGCACCAAACTGTGCCTCTCTCCTTGATCTCTCTGTAAGGAGAATTGAAAGGGAAAAGCTTTCTCGTTCAGAGACTCTGTGCACTTTAACGCCTCATCTGTGCACTTCGTATGCTCACGCTTCCTCCACACCGCGCTTTCTTGCCCCGACCCTGGCTTTTGGAAACAGGTACCACGATGACGCATCTCCCGTGGCTCTCCCCACTTCAAAGCTACCACCAGTAAGTGATGCAATTTTGTCCTTTTGTACTGATTGCCAATCGCCCATCCGTAATAAGGGTTTTGCTCCTGTGAGAGGGCAAAGGAGCTACAGAGGCAAACAACCTCCCGAAGTCCTCATTTGGTGAATCCTTTGTTTAACTAAAGGAGCCAGAATAAATCTCATTACTCTAAGAGTTTAGGCCAAGAAAACCCAACAACCCATCAAGGTAGACCAGATGCCTTGAGAGCCTGAACCACGAACAAACGGCGAGCTAATAAAGTCATAAAACACAAAGGGAAGGGAGGCACAGGCAAGAAGGGGTGAGACAGGACCCCAGGGTCCCAGACAACAAGGACTCTGCTCAGCTGAGAAGCCACAGGTCCCCCAAAGGAATGCAACGTGAAGATCAGCCAGTCGTGGAGGGCTTTCCATTCTCCTTACCCTCGCCGGATCAAATCGTACTTGATGGTCGTAAAATCATGGGGATCTGGAGAAGCCACGCAGGTATCCACGAAGAGCCTCAGGGTGGGGTTGGGGCTGTGGAGTGTGGCCTGAAGGAAGACCGCTTTCTTCGGGCTGGCGTAGTGTGGCCCCGGGTTCCTCACATGCTGGGACGTGGGCAACTCAAGGAAGGATATGGACACGTCATAGCCAGCGTTCTCCCTGGGGACCTGAGCCCCAGGAGTGACTTCAGCTGCAGACAGGCCATCCACCCTGCAGGTGAACTTGAGCTGAGGTACCCTATGCCTCACGAAGACTCGGCCGAGGTGGCCCTGGATTCGGCCTCTGACGGAGTTGGAGTAGCTGAGGGAGCCGAGCCCTTCCTGGGAGGACGAGAGGGGAGAGCTGCTGGCCAGGGCTTGACAGACGCCTTTCTGCAGGCGCAGAGGCCTCTCCCTCACAGCCCTGCTCGGCGCCAGCTCGACGATGAGCAGGAAGCCGGAGGCCTCAGGCCCAGTCTGTGGTATATCAGGCCCGGATGGGGTGACGCTATGTCCTCGATGCTGGGAGTTCAGAGCGTGTGCCAGGAGCCTCCCGTGAGACTCCCTTCTTCCCTCCTGTGAGGGCCAAGCTGTGCTGGTGTGAGGTGGGCAGGAGGTCCGTGCTGGCTACTTGGTGCTCTCTCTGCTGAAGTCTCCCCCACCTGCCCTCCCGTCAGCCTGTGGTAGTCTCAGGCGAGCACAGACCACGGCCCCCTGGTGCCCGTCTCCTCCCTTCCAGCTCCTCCCTTCTCTTGGCTCCAGACCCGTTCTGGCTCCTTGGGAGCTGTGGGCCTGCCCCCGCTCACCTCAGGCTCAGCCTTGCTCCTTCAAATCCAGCGTGACTTGAAGGGCTAAGGGGGTGCTGACGGCTGTCGTGCAGAGTGCCATTGTCTCTGGAAGCCGGGTCCCCACGGCCCCGTGCGCGGCCCAGAGACTCAGCCTGCCCCGCGACGCTGGTTCAAGGAAGCCCCTGGTTGTGTGACTCAGATCCTCGACGCTCTGCCTTGGAAGCTCTGAGGACTGCCCCCCCCCCCCCCGGCCGTCAGCTCCAGCCAGGTCTGCCTTTCTAGACCTTTGCTTTCCTTTCCTACTCCTTCCCCCGCCCCTTCCCAGTCCCCAGTATGAAATTTTAATACAATGAAGACACTCTGCGTTCTGCACGAATACCTGTGCTTTATCCAGAAAAACAGATTTTTTTCTTGTTCCCCTCTAGAACAAGTTTCTGCCTTGCCCCTTGAAGCAGGTCTTGCCCTGATGGACAGCTTAGAGGGAAAGCTCAACTCCTTGACCACACGGCCCTGCCCCTTCCGAGGGGACCCAGTGCTTCCTGGTGCAGAGGGTCTCTGGTCTCTTCCTCTCCTCCTCGAGCCCTCCAAGCTTGCTGCTGCGGCCGGCACAGGCTGCCCGCTGCAGGGGCCCTCCTCCCGCTCCCCTCTCCCTAGCTGCACTCCTCCCCAGGCCTCGGCTCCTTGGCCATCCTAGTCCAAGAGGCCTTCCTTCCACCCCACACCATCTCCTGTTCCCTTCCTTGTTTTGCTGTCTTCTGAGCATCTGTAAAATGATTCTCTTATGTGCGCTTGTTCAGTGCCTGTCTCCCTTTTCTCGAACGTGAGGGCTGTGGAGCAGGAACCCCGTCAGTCCCATTTTCCATTGTGTCCTCAGCACCTAGAAGGTTGCTCAGCCACTGACTGAAATCACGAGTTCTGTGAAGGTGTGCTCGCCGTGGGTGGCCCAGGACTGGCCATCACCTGGAGGGGTTCCTGACCTGCTGTGTCGTCTGGCCCCCGTGCGGTGAGAGCTGGGCCAGCCAGAGCCATACACAGCAGCAGGGTCCTCTCCGATGGCCTAGAAGTTTCTGGGGTGCCCGCCTCCCAGACACCAGGGGGCTTCTGGCATGGCCCCTGGGGCAGAAACCTCTGAGGTAAAAACTAGACATTTCAGGGCAAAAAGGGTAAGAATGACCGTGATCTGCATAATCAAATAGACACAATGTGAAGTCGGGAGTCAGCGTGCTCACTGGGCACCATGCAGACTGTTTGAATGAATTAACCTCCAACAGTGCCAAAGGTTTGCTGTTTTTGTGTGTGCGTCTAAATGTGGAAACAGAAGAAGAGAGGAACAACCTGGAGATCTTGCTGTGGAATGTGCTACATTGTTAGATACACCAAGAAGAAGATTTCATAGTTAGACACTCTCCTATATCCTTGGTCTACTTGTTTCCTTAACTTCCATGACACTGTTCTGTGAAATAAGGTGGTGGTTAAGGAACAGGAAATAAACGTATACATTTCATTATCCCCTCCTGTGCTGGATATATGCTTTCTATGTGTGGAAATACAGCTGGTTGCCTGGTTAGAACCCAGCAGTCAGATGGACAGATCATTGGTTCTCCCCCATGCGCAGCACCGTGGCCTGCCCGGAGGAGGTGTGCACTGAAGGTGAATAAAGAAGCATGTCATGGGAAATGCTTGGCTTTGGAGCTAAGAGAACATCGTCCGTCCATCTGTCGGATGTTTACCCATCCAGGCATCCACCAGCTCTCAGCACTTACTACAGAGTATTCCAAATTCAGCATGTGTTCCAAATTCCCAAAAGGAAGGAAAATTTCGGACACATTACTGAGTGCTCCAGGTCTCACCGAACTCGGAAACAAAGTCCTGGCAGCTGTGCCTTTCCGCTGTCCCTGTCAGGTTTTGGACAGGGGGTTGAATTTTCCAAGTAGCTCTCCTTGGCCTCCGTCCGCAGAAGGGTACCACCCCCTCGGCAGTTTCTTACCTGTCTGACGGTGCCACAGCGACCGTAGGGGATGTTGAAGATCAGGTAGCGCCCGGTGACTTGGGGGCGGCACAGCTCATCATTTAAGTGGATGTCCCAAGAGGAGTAGCCCAGCCTCCGGAGATAGCCTCGGTCAATGGCGACTCGGAAGAGATGAGGCAGGCAGGAGAGCTGGGCTGCAGGAGAAGCGTGGGAAGAAACGCACAAAGACAGTCTGGACCAGCGGCCGCGCAGGGGCATGTGGGTGTGCGCTTGCTCTGCAAAGCATGGGCGGTGCCTCCGGTGGAGGCTGCTTCAGCTCTCATCACCCCCTACCCTTGACTTGACTCTCACTGAATTTATGTCCTCATTCTCCAAAAGTCACACCAGATCCTGGGAGTCCTACCCACGGCACGTGTCCTGCGGTCTGAGTCAGAGCCTTGTCTAACGATTTAAAGGACAACCCCCTTCCCATGTTGAGGACCCCCAAGGTTGAGCACACATCTATCCGAGGCTTTGTATGAGAGATGTTTTGGGAAAAGAGTGGCAGCAAAGCAGGAGGGAGCGTGCGTGTGAAGAGGCTTCTTCCCCAAACTCCTAAGGCCCACAAGTGGCTGGAGATGCCAGAGGTCTCAGTGGAGGCACAGGAAAGCCCATTCTTTCTCCCCGGGACACCTGCTCTCTCCATTCCCACTTCCCGCAGCCTGGAGGGGAGGGCTTACCCTTGTCCTTGGGTACAGCAGAGGCAGCCGGACCTAGTGAGGGGAGATGGGTGAGAAGCCAAGGTCAGCTGTGCTGACACCCTGACCTGGAGGAGGAGGCCGTGGCCAGCAGCAGAACGGCAGTGCGGGAAATGGGCTCGTTGGATTTAGCTATGGCAGCTGGAGTACAGTGGCTTGAACATACTTCAGGTCGATGGGGAGGGAAAGAGGGCCTGGGGCCTCCTCATGGAGTCCGAGGAAGGGATTTCTGTGCGGGTGCAGTGTTGGCAATACTGGTGTCGTCAATGCTGACATTTGTTAGAGCAAGAGAATAGTCAATTCAGGCTTTGCAGGTTCTAAACACTATCGTTTGAAGGAATCTGGCAGATGTCCCTTTCCATGCTCATGGCATGCTTGGGATCTCAGCCTGGGACATAGGCAGTCTGTGGCTCTCAAAGGCCTCTCCAGCTCAGAAGCAAGGCAGGACAGCAACCCAGGGCCGGGGCCCAGCTCAGGAAGCGTGGCTGGCCACATTCACTCAACCCCTTCAGATACCGTTGGCCCCAGACCTCGGGTCCTTTAGCGGCTATACCCAGATGAAAAGGAAACCCCTTGGCATATAATCCAAGAGTGGAAAACGAATTACTCTTTCCAGTGGGCCTGCTGAACAGCAAAAGGAAAGGTTGGAACTGCGAATACACACAGTGAAAGTGAGGGCCTGGGAGATAAGGATCCCAGGGCCCCAGGCTGACTTGCTCATAAGGCTGTCTGTGGGATGGTTTGTCTAGGGGACTCTGATGATTTTTCTAGTCATGATCAATCCTATGAAGGGCAAGAGTACCTCCCCCACAAAGATAAAAGCATTGGGAGTGATTCCTTTGTTTGCCCGTGAAAAACTAAGTATGAAACAGACAAAGGAGCTTGGACTTGTTCATCAAATCTTAGAATTCTGCGACTTTTTGAGGTTTACCTGGGTAAATTTAGGACAAATATAAGACAGTACTACTCCACAGAGAAGAGGGCCGACCTCTGGAGGTCGAATGCCAAGATGGGTATCGGGTGGTAATAAAAAGTCCTCCAGGAGAGGGATAGGCCACATCTTGGGTGAAAGGGACACAAAGGGCAGCCTAAGGTACTGTGGGGTTCTGACTTCTGAGGGCGGGGTCAAGGGTGTCCACTTAAGATTGCGCCCTTGATGACCCTGTCAGAAATTGAATAAGGGTCTTTGTGGTCTGACAGCCTCAAGTTCTGTGTCCTTAATCATTGCATTATACGGCCGCTTCTTCCTTTGACCTCATAATCTTGTAGCCCTATTTCAGAACAAATACAGCCCTGAATTGGAATTCGACAAAAGTGATGAATAAAACCACAAGGCTGTGCCATGAAAATATTTAGCACAGCAGTTGTGTGACAAATACGCCCTTGCTACCCTAGCAGCTGGCGCCTTGGCCAACACGCAGTCCCTTGACCTTCAGAGCACGGGCAGAGGAAGAGGCACAGTCACCCGGGACACACCTGCGCAGATCACGCCCGCGTCCTCCTGGTGCCGGCAGTTGTGCCGCGCCCAGCTGGAGTGGCCGCAGTGGTCCAGTGCGTCTTCGGTGCCCGAGCAGCGCATGTCGTCCAGCAGGATGGGGCCCGAGCCCGGGCCGAAGCGGCCGCGCCCTGGGGCTGCGAGAGCTCGGCCGCAACCCAGCAGCCGGCACACGACACGAGCATCCCTGATGTCCCAGTGGTCGTCGCACACTGTGCCCCACACGCCCTCGTGGCGGACCTCAACCCGGCCCTCGCAGCGGCTGCGCCCATCCGCCAGGCGCAGGGGCAGGTCTGCGGGAGGAGAGAAAGCAAGTCAGGGGACAGCGGTAACAGGCGCCACAGTCAACCTCCGCTACCGGGCACCTCCGCGTGGTGCATTGTTTGCCGCGGAAGAAATGACACTGCGATGAGACCCACCATGTCTGTTGGTGCTGCCCTCGCTCTCTGTCTCTCTCCCTCCCCCCAACCCCATGGCACTCCCTGTCTCATAAAAAGCCAAACCTGCATTAAGCAAAGCCCTCAAAGAACGGAGGGTATTGTCAGCCTAGTTGCCCAGATACCTAAGAATTTAATCATTAAAAATACTAGAAAGAAAGAAAACAAAACGGCAAAATCCTCCCATCTTTGGAGTAGAATTGTTGAGTCACTGGCTTGACTTAGTGAACAAAATCTATCTCATGAAATTTCTTTTACTCTTGATGAATAAAAGCCAACATTGGAGCTGTAAAATGTGTCTTCTGGGGGCGCCTGGGTGGCTCAGTGGGTTAAAGCCTCTGCCTTCGGCTCAGGTCATGATCCCAGGGTCCTGGGATCGAGCCCCACATCGGGCTCTCTGCTCGGCAGAGAGCCTGCTTCCCATTCTCTCTCTCTCTCTCTCTGCCTCCCTCTCTGCCTACTTGTGATCTCTGTCTAATAAATAGATAAAAAATCTTTAAAAAAAATGTGTCTTCTGTCAGCCAGCTTTTCCATTTCTAGGTGTTTGCTGGAGATAAATGATAACGTGCACTGAAAGATTTGCACACAGCAGAATTCTCCACCGGAGGGAAAAAAACTGGGGAGCACCGACCTGTCTACCCGCAGGAGAGGGGATAAATTGCAGAATATCTACCCAATGGAATATTACTAAGCAATAAAAAGGAACAAAGTACCCATAGGAACCATCTGGACAAATCTCAGAAACAATTTGTTAAGCAAGAGAAGTCAGACACAAAAGAGCACTTATTATTTGATTCCATCTATATGAGATTCTAGAAACACAAAGCTAATCTACAGGGACCGAAAGCAGACCAGTGGTTGCCTGGGGGATTTACTGCAAAGGGAGGCAAAGGAGCTTTTCAGGGTGATGGGAATGCTCTGTGTCTTGATTGTGGTGGTCGCATAGGTGGATGCATTAGAAAAATCTCATAGATGTGTGCAATTCATTGTATATAAATGTACTTCAAAATGGGATTTAAAAAGTAAAAATAATTTTAAAAATCTATATTATGTTGGCGGTGCCACACCAGTAGATGTGTGTAAAATGATTTGTCTTCATATAAAGTGGTTGCTGGTGACTGTTTTCCAACCTTCCTGCTTTCCTTGGCCCACAGAAGATGTTTCGTGATAGCTAATAAATGCCACTGGTGGTGGGTTATGGTATCCTGGTTTAGGATAATTGTTTGCTCCTCATTTAATTTGTTGCTTGTGATTTTGGAGCAAGATAACCATGCTTGCCTGAACTATGAATAAAGGCAAATATCTTTTCTGCAAGGTCCCAGGAAGTGAATGTGGGGCTTCCGACCCCCAAAGGGGTGTGTGTGTGTGTGTGTGTGTGTGTGTGTGTACATGCACATCTGTGTCTGCACATATCTACTTATTAGCTCATAAGGGTGTTCTGTAGAGAGTAGCAACTTTGAAAAAAAATACAACCCTTTATTAATAATGATTTGATAATTTAAGTGCTGAGAACAAAAGCAAATTACCAGGTAAAGGGGTCATGTCTTCGCCAATTGAAATTGTAACTGTAAGAAAGAAAGACCAAGCTTAAAAAGTGCATATCACCAAAGTCAGATATTTATAGTCAAACCTGAAAAGGAGCCACACATTTTCTCAAGGTTTAGGCACTAGTCGTTTTGTTTGAGTTTCTGCATGGGTTTAGGTGCAGAAATGCTGCCCACTAAGTTTTATTTTCTTATCGAAATGTAACAAGTAGTGTGTCTTGCTATTCTACAAAAAGAAAATGATTTGATAAGTGGTCAGAAAAGAAGCCTTTCAAATATACAGAATTTTTATAGGAAGAGTATGAAAGTGTTAGATATTGTAGGAAAAATATTTATTGGGGTGGCCTGTGTGAGTCAGGTCAATATAAATGTATTTAAAAACTCTAAAGAATAAAATAATTGATCAGGACAATTAAATGAAGCAAACCAATCAGATTTCTCAGAAACATTTTTAGGTAAGAGAAAGATCATATCTGAGAGGTGTACTTCCATGTGAAATACACAGAGGGAAGCAAAAAAGTGACAGTGAATTTTAGGATAGAGTGCGGTTGTATAAATTACTATACAGCTAAGGGTTAATCTAGCAACAGGCATATGATCTTTACCAGGTGATGGTGTCACTTTTGTTGAAATCAGATTTACGGCTGCCAAAAAAAAAAGAGAGAAAAAATTTTTTTCTAGTTCAAAGAAAGCATTAACATCGCATGTCATTGATATTTCACACTGTACACTCCAAGTTTATGAAAATAAGTCTGACCCATAAGCTGCATAGAACAGAACCCACCCTGCTTATTTATCGTGTGGACGTACACATCCAGGAGTAAAATGGTATATGAGAAGTTGGCACTTTGCCAGAGAGACAAACCATTCCCATTTTGAGCGTCCATACTGTGTCCTACAATTTCCTTCTCGAATCCCTACAGCAGCTGTTCCCGGGAAGTACTGTCTGTATGTTAGAGATGAGGAAATCGAGACTCAGAGAGCTTGTAAACATGCCCGGGACATCTTCAGTTCTGACCTGGGACACTCCAGAATATGCACCCTTTCTACAGCACTCTGCTTTTCAGGAGCATAAAATGTGGGTATGGCAGTCATTCTCTGCTGTCACCTTCATCTTAGACTTTGAGTCTCCAGGACTGTGGAAAATAGATTTCTGCTGTTTAAGCCACATGGTCTGTGATACTTAGTTATGGCTGCCTGAGTTAAAACAGTGGCAAGTTTCCTCCTCCTCTGGGCCTCATTTTCTTCCAAAACAAGGGGAGTGGTTCAGCATTTTACTCCTCGAATGTGGCCTGTGACCAGCAGGATAAGCATCACCTGGGAGCCTGTGAGAAATGCAGAATCCAGCCTCCATCTGGAGCCATGAAATCCCAAACTGCATTTTACCAAGTTCTCCAGGCCATTCACTTGTACATGAACATTTGAGAATTGTTGCCATGGGCCATCTCTAACGTGTCATCCAGGATTGATGCTTAATGCCATTTTATCCTACTCATCCTGTCCCTACACCTGCCTCCACTGTGTTCAGAATCATAACCACTGTGGGTTCCAGTGGCCTGGAACCAACCAGACCTCCCTCTCCTCTCTCCTGACCGCTCTTGGGGAAATAAGAGTGTGTTTTCTCTGAGTTGTGTCCGCTCCTGCTGGGCTGTGGTTTCTCAGAAAGTCACTCACCAGGGCTACTGCAGAAAGTAGAGACCCTACCTGGTGAAGAGGCCTTTTCTCCTGGAGTGGAAGTTGTATCTGCAAACAAAGAAGACTCAAACTCAAATATCAGTGAAAAGACAATGGAAAGTTTTGGTTTGAACAACAGTGTGGTAGAAGATGGAATTGCACATGGGTAGAACCAACACTATCACAATCTAGTTCTCTTGCATTTTGGTGTGTGGGATGGGTCAAAGCACCACCTGTAACCTAACACAGATCACCAGGCTAGTGGAGGTGGGGGGCCCTGCCCTTGCCTCCCAGGAGCACATCTGATTAAGACCAAGCCAACAAGCTGAGGGAATGTCCTAGCAGAGGGACCACTTTTGTGACTGTGGATGGATGAAGAGAACATGAAGCTTCATTTCTATGAAAAGGATGCTGGGACTTCTGTTTATATATCAGAGCTTCTGCGACAGACAAAATATTCACTACCTATGTTCATTTGTCCAACAGAAAGAGGGAGAGTTGATCATATTTAACTTAAGAAATGTGACAGACAGAAAACATTACCAGAGGGTGTGTCCACTTCTGCTGAAGTTGAAGATACATCTGTAAAGGGACAGAGAAAATTGGACACTTAAAAATGGGAGAAAGGACTCTTCAGTGTGTCTTTTCATTCAGTCTACTTTGTGGTCAACATGGTCATTATGTGGGCTCGTTTTCAAAATCGAATATGGCAAGTGAGAAGCTGGTCTCATGATTTAAACCACACGACAAGAGAGCTTTTACCAGAGGGAGAGGTCACTTCTGCTGAGGATGAAGATGTATCTGTAAAAAAGAGAAGACCTAAAAACTAGCCAAGAGGAGAGGACACTTGGGAGTTTGTTCTTACTGAGGCTGGGCTGGGGATAAGCTTTCCATGGAACAGCCTAGACTGATGAATGGAAGTCCAAGAAGAGGCACTTAATAGGGCAGGAGACAGTGTCTTACCTGGTGTGGAGGTCACAGTGGTTGCTACTAAATCTACAGGAGAACAAAAATAACAAAGCAACAATAAGACAGCCATATCAGGCCTACGTGTTGCTAAATACAAAGACATAAAGGTGGCCATCCTAGATCAGTATAACTGGCCTGGCTTGTCTTCCAGCTTTCCAGACAGGGGGATCCCTAGATCCTCCACTGCCTCCAGGCCACCTCTCCAGCTCTTGGGTTTCCATTCCTCTTGCCCACCCTTTACTTCTCCCCTTGGAGAAGGTGAACATTACCTACTTAGAGGGCAACAACCCTTGGTCCAAGTTTCTCCCAATATGTGTTTATCTAACAGAGATTCTGTAATTGGAGGGATTCCTACACCTGGTCCTCCCTCCTCTCCTTGAATGGTTGGAAGGCAGCGACACAAGAAAGGGTGAGCTCTTGGACTGTCCCAAGACCCAGACTGAGGGTAAGGAGGGGATGGCAGGTCCATTTGCCTCTTGTACTAAGGATTGCCCTCCACCCAAGCCTTCTCAGGAGTATGGGCCCTATTTTGGTCTTGACTCTGATGTCTTACTTAATTGCTTTAGCACCTAGAGTAGGGGAGAGCACCCTCTTTATTGTCCTCCCCACAAATAAACCTCTAACACTCTATTTGTAAAATTGTTCACCCCAAAGTCACATTAGGAACTC